AAACTGAGCGGGGAAAGAAATGCTGGTGGTGGAGATCATAGCACAGCATTTTGCAAGCGCGGAGCCGGGCGCACTGCTTCATCTCGCAACCCATCTCCTCGCCAAAGTTCTGTCAAAGCTGATGAGTGAGTTTACTCAAGGCTTACCATATAAATATAAGACATAGTTATGTGGTTTACTCATTACCTATGGTCTCCACTGGGGATAAGGAAAATGACATATGATATCTTTAAAACTTTTCAAAAATTGAAAAGTCACCCGATGGTGATAGTGTTTAACAAGCTGTGTTTTCATGACATAATCTACTGTCCAGTCACTTGCTTAATGTTCTTTGGTTTAAAGATGCCATTAAAGCATAATTTTTCATTGAATTCTTCCTGGAACTCATTAAAATTTGAAGTTCTAGGTAAAACAATTCATCCCCTGATATATTTGGTGATAATTTGGAACAACTTCATGGTTCCCTGGAATCTTATTTTAGATCTACATCTTAAATAATGTAGATAATATACTATATTTAAAATACAAATGATAATATTATATCTAAATTTAAAATCATAATAATATATCTTATTTCAGCTTCTAGATGTAGCATAGATCAGCCTCTATCAATTTAAGTAATGGCATTTGTAATGGCTACTAATTGAGGTAAGCATAATTGATATCTTGGTTCTGAACCGAAAATTAAACACTGAAACAAAAAAATCATTTCAGGTTAGCTCATAATATTTCCATATTCTTTTCTTGAAAAATGAGAACTGAGAATTACTCTTGCTTTGGATATTATATCTCAGTTCATAGAGTTCTTCAAAATTCAGGGTTCATTTTTAGCATCTTCTTAACATTTAGATGTGTGTAAGTTTAGCAACACAAAACTTTCTAGTGAAATTCTTGTGATGTGTTTTCTTGTGAAAGTCTCAAACTCCCAAATTATTTTCCATTAACGTGGCTACTGAACTGTGGAAATGGGTGAATGAGTGTACTGTTCACAAGACACACACCATCTTGAAAAGGACGAGTAAGTAAAGCAATTAAAAGTGTGGGAGGTGAGATACCTCTCTCCCTTTTCTCCTGATCTCAAACTTTAGTTGCTGGTGGCCAAACTAAGATGAACACATCTCTTAAAGATGTGTTAAAGGGAATTCAAGTCTAACCCCAGGGTTGCTTTGACTCAAGCTGAAGAGTTTGCGTACTCTTCTCATGCAGAAATTGAGAAATCTGCAAACATGTACTCTCATATTTGGGCTGGCCAAAGCACCACATCTGCAAAGTGAAATGGGAAGTATCACTAGGGAAATAAGCTGAATTCTGCTGAAGGGAGAGTGAGGATTTATCATGATGTCCACAAACAAGAACTGGTACTGAAATCAATGCTGTAAGACACCTGCATGGAAAGGTGAACTATTTTTCCACTCCCAACTGCTTCATTATGTTTCAGAAGTGCTTTGGGTCAAAACTCTTCTGTGTCAGATTGAGATCCCATCTTTTCCATGATCCTTCTGCCTTATTCTGTTTTATGCAAAAGGCCTTTATGAACTGTCGTATGTTCATAAAGGCCTTATGAACTGTCGTATGTTCATAAAGGCCTTTTTTAGAAGTGCAGTAATGTCCTTCTCTGAACCTACTGCTACCTGAAACAGGAGAACTACCGATCAGTGAGGCAAGTCTGCTCAGACCATTATCTGCAACTTGTTGTATAATGAAAGTTTGCTAATGTCTGAATTTTTCACTTTTCTCAAGCCCCAAAATCACTCTGAAAACTATCGCCAAGGAATATTATTCTAAGCTTTTAGTCACCAGTCACCTGGTTATTAATAATCTCTTAGTTTTTACATCAGTCAGGAGATGCTGGACAAATCCAGCAGGGTTTTTTCCATACAGGTGTTTGGGGGTTTGTTTTTCTCGTGTTCAACTTTGTTTTTCATGATTCTTTCATTAAACTCAAAACCTAGATCAATGGCGCTGTATGAAGGACAATGAATAATTCTCTCAATGTCATCAAAATTTCTTGCTGTACTTATGATACTGATACAAGCTATGTGATTTCTTTATGGAGTAGAAGACCTTGTAGAAAAGTGGCTTAGTTATGCCATTTCTGTGGTACTCTCAGGACATAGACTGTATAATTGACTGCAGACATCTTAGCTTAAAAGCCATCTTAGAGTTTTATCCAGTCTCAGTAATATGTGTGTAGTCCCATGGGCTGCATCCAAGGATTATGCTAATTTTATTAGCAACTCCTCTTACTTTAATTAAAACTGCATAAATTCCCACCTGATCACTGTTGTGCCAACACCCTTCTTTCCATTTTTATTTGAACTTGCAGTTATTTTTATGTTTTTTTTTGTTTTTTGTTTTGTACTTGAATTCTGGTGTCATTGAACTATCCATTGTGTTTTCCACATGAAATAATATGATACTGAGGGGTGAACAGTGTTTCAGATTGAATTATTGGATTTGGTCAAATCTTTGAACAGATCAAAGCAAAAACCTGTGTGTCCGAACTGGCCGGCTCTTCACCAGAGAAAGTATTCCAAGCAACCTGAGGTCTGAAAGTACTAAGTTATGCACTGCTGTTCAAAATATCTGCAAGGAAGCACAGTATTAACATTTACTTTACTGTGTTTTTACCATGAAGCAGAGCGATGTGAATTCCTTAGTGGACTGTTAATTTACATGTTCTACATTTTCAAATATTTCCAAAAGCAAATGTGAAATAATTAGTAATCCATTCACATGCTTGCAAAATATTATTAGCAAAATGCCTTTGGCAGCATGTTGTATTGACTAAAATTGGTAAACCTGCATTTTAAAACTAAAATAACCCCCACCCCTTCACACCCCAAGGCCTGCTCAAAGCCAAGACCTGGTCACAACTGGAATTCATGGTTCAGTTTGCAAAGTATGCTGAACTGAGAGAGAGAGAAAAAAAATAAAGGACAAAACTAGTAATTTAAGGTTGGCAATGCTATCTACTCTTTAGAAACACTCTGCAAGTCTTCTTTGGAACCTTGAGTTTAAAATAGTTTCTTCTCTTTAAAAACCATCATAATGAGATAATTCTGGCATTATCACTTATACCTATATAGTCTTTAAGGTGTATATGTTGCAATTTTACTTTAGAGAAATCAAGTCTGGTCATTCTTTATACTTCGTAAACTGTGTTTCTAACTGTGTGTGGTTTTGACAGGGCCAGAGACCTGAGCAAAATAACCCATACATACTTCTGAAAGACGTGTTTGGGTGATATTTTTTAAAAAATAAAGAGGATCAAAGAGCAAGTAGTTCAACAGCATTTATTGGTGTATCACTTTTTAAAAATAATGCTTCATAAACTCAAATCTAACATGACACTTCCTCCTAAATGTCAATTATTTTGTCCAGAAGAATTCTTTAAAAGTCTGATTTCTGTCTGTTCAATACCAAACCAATAGGATAAAGAACACATGGCATTAAAATGCAGTAAAAGCTACTGTGAAATAAAGACACAGCAAAAAGTCTGTGTGGTAGCCAAGTTTTGCTTCCATAGTTGCAATGTGTATTTCTCTGAAATTTACATTTATAGCTAGGAAGTAATTGAATAAAGAGATGCATCATCATTTTCTTTTTTAGCACATGGGTGAATTATTCTACTAACATGTGAAGGGGTGTTCATATAACATCACAGTGCTTTGTGCTAGAGAAAAACAATTACAGTGAATAAGGTAGAATGGCTCTGTTATTGCAGTACATAAGACTTTGATTACATACTGCCAAGATTCATACCAGCCTAGTAGTTGTTGACAGATAAAGTAACAAAAATGAAACTCATTTATTTTTTCTTTATTGAGACCTCAAGGTAAAGCAAATTTTCAGTTCTTGTACTTACTACATTGAAGGAACAGAGACTGACAGTCAAAATGTGCCAGTCCAGAAATATAAATTAAACCTAGTTTCATATCAAAGTTTCATTTAGTCTCTGAAAAGGAGCTGCTGCTTGGATTATTTTTGATCCTAAAACAAATATACTGTAGACTACTGTAGTGTATCTTGGATGACTTAACCCTCTCCTATATTTAGCTCTCAGGCACTTTCCAGGATATAGGTCTGTATCTACTTACGCAATTCAAAAATTTGTTTTGGACTTAATCATTTTACTTTTCTTCTCAGGTTAGTAATAATTGACTGTGTTTGCAAACCTGATATATCAAATGATGAATTAAACGTAGATTTGCACTTTTGAGTGTGGCAGAGATGGACGCATTTTCGGAGAAAGGCCTCCCTTCTGCCTGATAAAACAGAATTCTCACTGATGTAATGGGAAGATCCTCCAGGCAGTTAGATGCTGCATTATTCCATGATAAGTCTAACAAATTACTTTTTTTTTGGTAAACTTGATTAGCTTTTGAAAGGCAGATAAACCTAGCTATTGAAATGGAAAGTGCTAAAATAAGTGTTTTTCTCCCATCAAAATCTTAGATTAGTTACCTAGCCCAACTGAATATAATTGCTGTTCAGATTAATGAGGCAGCATTCTAGTATCTCCTGTGTAATTAAACACTTCTCTGGTTGAATACAGTATTAAAGATGCACCAGACGTTGAAACCTCAATGGTGAAATTTAAAACTGTTGAAATTGAAAGGGTCAGCTGTGAAACACAAATTTCCCTGCAGCATGGGTAAATTCACTCGTAAAATGTGTTTCAAGAATAATTTGGCTTAAGTTTGGGATGCTGGATTTTTTTTAATGTTTCTTATCATTTCATCATCTAAATTTGAGTGTTTTTCTCATTAGTTTCTGAGCAAAGTAACATAAAGTGCGCTTATTTCCAGAATTACCTTTTCTGACCTTTCACAAGATGATAATTGCGGTACTAGTGGGCTTAGAGGACTTGTTAAAAAAATTAAGCTTATAAAGTAGCAAAAAATGCCCCTTTTCTTGCTGGTGTCGATTTCAAAATTAACATTTTGGTTCATGTGCTTCTAATAATCGCTGACCCTTACTTCATGTGCTTTCCACAGGAAATGAATACAGCAGAAATTACTTTGACCCATTGATGGATGAGGAAATAAACCCAAGGCAGTGTGGGATGGAGGTCAGTGAAGAAGGTGAGGCAGAATTAAGTGTGTAATTTTGGTGTCAGAATATTCTTTTCCATTCATGAAAATGAGGTGACAAAGATCACATATGCAGTTCCATTTAAATATTGAGGTTTACAATTTAAATTATAAGCCTTACTCACTATGAACATGATAGGCAGTATGCACAGTCTTTGATCAAGGACAGAGAGTTAATGGACAAGTAAAAGTGAGACTGTGTGGTATTCACTTAGCTATTACAGCAATAGAATGAAGCACTCCAAGAAAATTGTCTATACCATGTTCTCTTTAATTAGTGTAGTCAGTCCAGAACTGAGTACCAAGCTGATTTTTTTTCAGCCCCAAAGTCCTCATTCAAGAGGAAGTTATTTTAGGGTTGAACTGTGTGCCTAACAGAAGAGAAAACCTCAAGTACATAAGTGTTCCCAGCACATCAGGTTACTTTTTTGGTTTTACTTTTGACATTTTGTCCAAAATGCTTAACTTTGTTGTCTGTGAGTGGTACCTAAGCTCCAGATGATAGCAAGGAGCTGGGAGGGTGTGACTGCAGCACTGGGAGAACAGAAGTTATGTGTAGGTATGAGAAAGATTAACTGGGAGGTATTGTCTTTCCCTGTGAACAGAAGAAATCCTCCTTTGCTGTCCTGGCTTTTAGATAAAAAAGGGTGCGAACGGGCTTGCCTGAATTTGCATGGTCTTAAGTAAGAACATCATCATGGTAATGAAGTGCTTAGCTATGCATTGAGTGCTTTGGCCCAGCTCCTGCTGTTCAGTGCTAACAACCTGATAGCACGCAAGACAGAGTTCTCTTGTGTTACCTTTCTAGTCCTTCCTTTTTTTTTTTTTCTTTTTTCCTTTTTAACATTGTGTTTATGTGTACTGCAGTACCTATCTAACCGATCTAGACACACAGTAGTAGTCAAATATGAAGTTTAGATAGACTGGAAAACTTGTCTACTGTAATGGACCTCAAAGCAGTCCACTTCTGAAGTACATCACATTTCAGTCTGTGTAGCTATTGTAAAGATTTGAATTTCTGAGAAAAAAAGTATATGTGACTAAGAGAAAAGCAGATTCATACCAATAACTTGACTCTCTTTGTCCTGAAATAAAAAAAAAAGACAAGATTATTTTAGGTTTACTAGGCAAATTGCCTCTAACCTCCATCATTTCCCTATGCCTTGTATAGGATAGCACTGTGATTTCTTGGAAGCAGAATTCATTTTTTGGCCCTAAGTTTTTACGTGAAAGACTTTGGTTCATCTTCTAATAAATTGGCTTCATGAGTCACGATCTGCCTCATATACAGAGAATGAGAAGTGAATTTGTTTTCTGCATTTGTCTGTGCACTTAAAAACATGCACAGATACAGTGGTGACATGCGAGATGTCTGGCAGTAAAGTTTTTGTCAGGAGAAAATGTTTTCTCCTATCAGGTCAGACTGTGTCCAAGAGAGCCATGGCAATATAACTGAACTTGGGCATTTCTCCTTTTTCTGTCCTGGCTGAACCGTTGATCAGAGGCCAATGTACATTGGTTTATTAAAGGCCTGTTGGCAATGGTGGCAACCTCAGGCTATTTGTCTGAATCTATGGCATTTTCTGAAGCAGGGACCTCTGTTCTTTCCTCTTCTTTAGTGTACATTTTGTCTTCTTCAGTTATTCACCTTTGTCCTAGGGCCTTTTGGCTTGTGGGCTGAACGCATGTCAATTTTAGGTGAATTTTACTTTGCTTTATTGAATCAAATTGAATTGCTATAGAATCAAATAGACAGAAAAACATTATAGTTCTTCAACAATGTAATGGAATGCCACTAAAATTTTCTAAGGCCTTATCATATTTAAATATTTAAGGGGGAACTACATCTTTTGCCTGGGATGCTTTTTACAGATGTGCAGGGTTCTCCATGGTCTCCTCCTAAGTTCCTTAGCATAACCCAGAATGGAAGCAGGGAAATATAGTATGTGAGTAGTGTCAGCTGTATTTTTGCTCTTGAGTTTCTGTGATTCTTTCTCTTGCTTAATTTTATACCACACATCTCCATAACCAGTTGTCACATGTAGCCACGACGCGGTTCAATGACTGATTTTCTCTTCCTTTCCTTGGAGAAGTGTTTATAAGTATGTAAGAGACATAGTCAAAAGGAAAGTCAGAACTAACGGTCATTCTCTGATTCGATACCATACCTACTTACCTCTTTTTTCCATCTAGCAATCAGTCAGTAATAAGAGACAAAAGCAGAACAAGGTACTTCAGTGCATACTTTAAACCTACACTCCCCTTAGTTCTCAACCAAATCAAGCCCAAAGAGCTTTGCTGATGAAAAGCAAATCCTCCGTCGCTAACTGCATTAAACAATTTTAAATATTACTCAAAATTGTTCATCCTATGAGGGTCTCTAGTGCGTTACTTTGTGAAAATGAAGATATTATCAAATACCTTTCTACATTTGAGAAATTAAACTTGTTCTGGAAATTCTTCTGAGTTGATAATACCCTAAGAACAAACAACACCCCATGATACCCCAATATGGATTTGCCTTTTTTTTTTTCTCAAGGCAATGTTTCAATTTTACACAATAAAAGCAATGTAAAAGGTAATGATCTGTGCTTTGAGAAGAGCAGAGTTTTGCAGAGGCCTTGAATTTTAAATATCCCATTTGACTGAAAATTTATCACTGTAATTTTATGGTAAACCTTTGAAAAATCTTTCAAACACTTAAAAAGGGGCACCCAAGGTCACTGCTAACTATACTTCAATTGATTCCTCTTTCATACACTTCATCTTTTTAACTTGCTGGTCTTCACAACAAACTCAGAGAAGCCAGGGTATGGGACACCTAGAGGGAGGACAAGCCTCTATTGGTGATCTTTCTTGAGTATAGAATCTAGGAGTGATTTTAGGTCTCATGAAAAAAGATATGTGTGTGAGTTTTGCTCTTTTTAAATAGCTGCAGATATTATTGGCAATTTGAATGACTGACTAGTTACAGAACAAAAATTAAGGGGTATTGTAATAATTACTAATGCTATATAACCTGTTATTATCATGGACAGCTAGATAAAATTTCTAAGATCCAAAATCATACTAGAGAAAAAAAATAGAGAAACAGTTTGTTTTTTCAAACAAGATTATTAACAGAATTACGAAACCGATTTTAGCTCAGGATATAATATTGCACATCCTTCAAATGTGTGCATTCATACAGTTTTGATATTTAATTACTTTGATTATAACTGAGAACTTACAGTCAATTCTGCCATGATCATTTCTTTTAAACTAATTTTCAAGGTCAAAGGATTTCTTAATTTCTGAATTTATATACCTTTATTTATAGTATAAAGTAACATTTCCTGAAATATTACCAAGGAAAAAATAGATTTTCCACTCTTTTTTAAGATCCTGTGGAATTTACCGAGCAAATCCTGTATGATAAACTGATGAAGTTTTTGGATGAAGAAAGCAAGATGGCAAACTCCCAAGGTAAATAATATAATAATGCTCCATAAAGAAAAAAAAAATCTCTATTGAGCCTGGATGCAGAGGGCAGAAGCTTATCCATATCCTCGAACTCAAAAGCAAAAGGGACATTGTCTTTAAAGTGAGCCTGCAAGATCTTTACCCAAATGTTTTCATTTTGATTCATGTTTATGTGGTTTTAGGTGGAACTTAAGTGGCATGTTTTCTTTGGGTTGCTTCACTGTTCATTAAATTCCATCCAAATGAATGAAGAATGGAAAAGTTCTTGCTTATGTGCTCAAAGTTAGAAATTTAAATCCTTATTTAAACTCATGAGTGAGCCGTTTGTCATATTCAATGGCCACCTGATGTACTGCTTAAGGTTATCTGTATGAAAATTTACACTGTAACAGCCAGAAAGAAAATATTTTCTGTGGCTTTCTTAGAAACACCAAAATGATGTTCCATCTATGGTGAAAACAGCGAAGGGCAGGAGAACAGGTTACTCTACCTCAAGCTCACAGCCTTACTTTGGCTTTCCTTATTTTTACAGTCTTCCTTTAACATCCACTTGGTACACAAGAGCATTACCCTTGCAGCCCGTATGTGGTGTGCATGCTTACCTCTCTCTTCCACTTTATTTCAGATGAAGTGACATAAGAATATGCCATAAACTCAGGAAGCTACCCTTGTGTTTTTGAGTCTTGCTCCCGCACGCATGCACATTGTTTTCAGCAAAAGTCTTTTGTGCAAATGTATTTTCTGTTCTTTTGAATCTGTGTGGTGTTTGCTGATGCATAGTAGTTACATCCAAGGACTATTCTGTGAGAAAGACAGACAAGGCAATTGCCTATGGCACTGTCACCCAAGGAGCTGCAACATGTTTTATGATCATTGAACTTGTGAGGAACTTTTTCCTAGAAGAGGCAAATAATTTTCTTTGCCAACGCTTGCAAAATCCCTTCAACTGGAGCTAGGCATATCAGCAATATCTTTGAAACCCATTTTGTCTTGCTTTAAATGCAAGGGAAAGAAAGTACAACACCATAGCTAAATTCGTGCAGATAGTTTAAGCAAAAAATCTGCAACAAATTGTTGGCAAGCCATCTCCTATTGCGTACTCATGTGAAGCTCCGCATTACTGAAAAAGATCAAAGCAGTCCTGCAGGTTGATTGTTGCTTTTACCCTATAACAACATAGATTAGAGTGAAAACATGCTTGGCTGTGGTGAAGTCAACATTGTTTATATTGAAAATATTGGCATGTGGTCTGTGTCTGTGGTATTTATGTGGTCCCTCTCTACCAACATTTGTAGCAATTCATGGTCCTCAATATCTTAGCCTCAAAATACTACTGTTCCATTAAGGAAAATATCATGCTGTCATTTGGTAGAGGGAGCAGGCAGGGTGGGATACTCTACCCTTAACATTAACTTTCTGCAAATTAGCTGCTAGAGCTTGCTCTAAAATCACAGGAAAAAGGAGGAGAAGCACCTGTGGACAGGAGCTCATCCCACCTCACCTGGGCACTTTTTAGATTGGTAATACGAATGATTTGCTGAAAGTTGTTGTTCTTTCCTTTGACTGTAGAAGGATCTCAGACAACTGACTTGGACCTGACCATCGCTTTTTGCATGGTCAAAGGTAGGTGAACTGAGATGCACTGACATTTGCCCACTGACACGCAAATATTGTAGAGAAGTGGGGAGTAAAAGAGACATCTCCCTCATCTGGTTGTCTTTACCTCACCTGGATACCTTAATGCTCTGGATAAAAAATAACAGTAATGAATATTATTAAGATGAACAAATACTCAGGATTAAATACTGTGAGCAAATGGCTGATTTGGAGAAGAACAAGTTTTCAGTAACGCCCTCAAATATGTATAAAGCTGCTCAGATGCTTTTGAACATTTGAAAATGATTTTTTAAACTACTTTTATCAAGCTACTACAAAGAAGTAAAACATTCTTAATACAATTCGGCTACTTGGAGGATCGGACAGGAGGAGTCAAATCTGTCTTCTGAAGACAGCTGAACTTTTGCAATGTGGCTTGAGGACCATGACCTGACAGTGTGGCTGCTGAGCCTCTTGAGCATACAAGTACTGAGCACAGACCTGGACGCAAAGCCCAGAACACGCTGCTGGCTCACTGACTTAATTCAAATCCAGAATTCAAGGGCAAGAAACTTTATTAACATGAGTATTTTGTACTCCAGGTGAGCATCACTGCCTTTGTACATAATCAAGAGGGCAGTGAGTGTGGGAACTACAGCAGTCTGCTACTGTCATGTGTTTTGAGTAGTGCCTCAGTGCTTTTTTTGCCTAAAAGTGCCACAGTGGGTATCACAATAAAAGTCAAGGATGAACGCTGCATTCCATCCTAGGTGAATTTGTTGCTAAGTTATTTTTAGTTTGGGTGAATAAAGATTTGAATAGATTGTTAAGCTGCAGGTTTTCTTAAGAAAGTGAGGCCTGTCTCTCTCTGTCTGTGTGTGTATCTAGCTGCACATATTTCTGGCAGTCTCTGAATTCTTCCTCTAAATTTTTAACCTGTTGTACACATCCAAATTTCCCTTTTTTAACAATGAGCAAAAATTCTCACAGGTACACCTTCCATACCAGTGGCATGGAACTGGGCAGCTGAACAGAGCGGACAAGCATTATTAATGTCTCCACTGAGGGAAAAACTGATACAGGAGCTTAACCCTTATTAAACATCACAAAATCTATAGAAAAGTGGGATTCATTTGATTCCATTCCTTGCAGAACTGCTCCTGTTTTATTTGACCACTGAACTGAAAAATCACGTAGTCATACAGTCCTAATTAATAGATCATCCCCAAAGGAAAAGAAAGAACAGAGCTCAGAATTTATATCATTGCATGTTTTAAAGCATATTGTGACTGAATAACCTGTTGATCACTCTTGTGGTATACGTTAGATCATATTGTAAACCTGTTTTTTAGAGGAAGATATATGCTGTCCTCGTTCTACACAGAGACAAAACCTATCAGATAGTTTTAGATTGTGATCTGCACATGTCTATAATCATGTCATGCTGCAGAAAAACATTTTCTGTTATATTATTAAAAGTCAAAGAATTAAAACAAAATGCTTCGCAGTATTTTTGTTGTTTGCAACTTATGCATGGACCTTTGTTGACTTATACTGCTAGCTGCAATGTGTAAACAGAGTCTTCTAGAACAAAGCAGGAAAACAGCATTTTCTACATGGATTTAGAATTTCTTTAAATATTCAGATGTGTGCTGAGTTCTAGTCTGGCAGTGGACGCAGCTTTTAAATACTTATCATCCTCATACACAAACAATTGTTATTTGATAAACATATGTGGGAAAAAAGTCAATCTACTTTATTTATCTATTGTCTGTTTATTTATTAATCCATTGCTGCTTGCTTGCTTGGGCTGTGCTGGTGCTTAGCAAACCCAGACAGCTGTGCCGGCCCTGCTCATCCAGGTGCTGCTGCTCCAGGCACCAGGAACTTGGGAAACCCTTCAGCAGTGGGAACAGCTGGGCCAAAACTCTGTCTGAGAATAATACTTTGCTTTGGCAGAGCTTTGTTACTCATTGAATCATGGCTGTGACTCAGAGGCTACTATTGCCCAAGCACACCACAAGTTAAAGGAGGTCTCTGATGTCTCAATAGCCCACTTGTGAGCAAGCTGAATTTCCGTCCTGACCCGTCTATTGCCTGCTGCACTTACAACAATTAGCTAAACGAGTACCAGAGAATGTATTTTAATTATAGCACAACATCTGCAAATATAACCTGGCAATCATATTTGGATCATACGGAGACTTAAATTGCTTGGGAAATACAGTATACACTATTAAGTACAGTGAAGTATATTTGTGTATAAGTGCATTTGTACTCTGAAGTACAGTCAAGACAATTAAAAGTTTGGCACATGCTAACATATTGCAGAAGCCAGTTTCTAACTAATCGATCAACCTAGCCATTAATTTCCTTGTAAATTCTTAGGCAGTTCCTGTAGTGTTTATAAAGCGGTAACATTTCTACCATTGTGGCTATTTTTGGACAGTAAAGAGGGTGAGGCCTTACTTTGTCAAGCTCATGTATGAGACCATGACTCAGGCCTTTAGCCCGTGTGTCAGTTCAGCCAAAGAGCAACCTAGTGGTGACTGTGTGTCAAAAGCTTTTTGCAAACCCAGCACTGAGCAAAGTGATTAGCTGAAAAACCCAGTTCTCCTTTTGTCTCTAGCTTGGTCAAATGAGCAGTTTTTCTGATTCTGCTTTCAGTGAATGTTTTTATCAAATTCTTTCTAAATCTGAATCATAGTTTATCCGGATATTTTCAACAGTTACTTCCCCTAAAAAGTTTTTTGAAAATGTTCTCTCTTGCTCATGTTAATAAGTCCAGTGTCTTCCACCAAAAACAGATTCATTAAGTGTAACTCCTCACAGAAGGAATAAACACAAAAAGAAAAAGGATATTTTGATGAACCACTGCGTGGTTGCCATTGAATACTGAAGGCTTTTCTTCCTTTTTTGGTATATAAATTTATCTATCTATAACCAGGAGATTTGAGATAGAAATGTACTCTGTTCCAAAGATGTAAACTTGCATTGCTCGTGTTAAAGTAGTAAAGCAACTAATTTATACCAGTTAAGCATATGGACTGTTGTGTACAGCACAGTACAGAAGGGAACAAGCAATGAAGCATCCTCTGCTGTTGGCAATGTTTTCTTTTCCAGCACTTCCTGGATTTTCTCTCTCCTAGCCAAACCCTTAATGTTACAGTAAATTTAAATGTAAATATCGTTTTGCTTCTTCGTTTAATAGTTGTAGGTCAAATCACTTTTCATTAGACTTGTAAGATGCTACATGAAGAGGTTCTGCGTACCCTAAGGTAATGGTTTGGGTTGTTTATATCTACTGTATGCTTCCCCCAACACGATTTTGAATTTGTATCCTGTTGTAATTAAATAAAAAACTACTTCCTGTGTGTTGGTGGCACAGAGGTGATTTAAGTACTCAAGAGGCTCAACAATTAAAGTCATTAAACAATGAGCAGTGCGCAAAACTGAAGATTTTAATAGCCTTAGTTTTATCTTTCCTTTTCTGGTCTTCATTAGAGAAAGAAAGACTTCAAAGGGGACTGAGAAAAAAAAATGTTTTAACCACTTTCATGTCTTGGGATGGAGAAAGAGAAAGGCTAATAACTAGACAGGACATTTTCTTTGAGAAAAAGAAAAGGCACAGAGTTATAAAGACACACACTTATATACAGAAAAATGAGGCAAGCAAATTGAGGTGAGAAGTGGACAACCTGGTATCTGTCATTTCTCAGTGATCCTAACATGGAGAAATGAGCAAAAGAGTTGTGTTTGTTGTATTTTTGACCCAAACTAGTATTAGTACTGTAACAAATGTCAGTGAGATGAAATATTTTGAAGTATCATGTTAAATTAGACTGAAAAAAATAGAACAAGTCATCTTTGAATAAGATTTTATGAATGGGATTTAATTTTATTTCTATACATGTGTCCTTTACTTCTGCAAACATCATCACAGGGAAATCAGTGGAATGAGGTGGGTGAGAGCAGAACTGGACCCAATTAATTAGGCGGGAGCTGAGTGCACGCACCTGGGGGTGGAATTCAATCCTTCAGGATGAGTGGGAGGAAGATGAAGTGATTGGTGTGGCCTAAAACTCCTTTGAATTCCTGTTATTCCTAATCTTCCATAAAACCATAAGGCAAAGCAATTCTGATTAAAATTCCTTAAACATCAGTAGATTTACATGGGAGTAAAGTGACCGTGAATATACACAGCACACGTTGTGAAATTATTATGCAGCAAACTGTACACCTTGCCTCTTTTTCCTGTACACAAATGTTACTCTTTAAGGATGCTTTTCCTGGCAGTGATGATTAGAAATTGCCTTTTTTTTTTTCTTTAAACTGTTGTTACTTATTTGTATTTATTTTATGGTAGCAGCAGTTGTCCTAAAATTTTGGTGGGCCGAACATAGTAACTGAGGGGTACTAATCAAAACTTAAAATCCCATTTGCTAAAAGATAACCTGTCACTTTCTTTTCAAGCAGCCTATGTTGTCAGCGAAGATTTTTCAGACTCCGTGATGCCTGTCAGCTTCAGTAAGACATGTGACCTTCACAGAGAGGTTGAAGATGAAGTGATTCCTTCATATATCGAACAGTTTGAGAGGGATGTTCAGGATGACATAATTCTGCTTGGCAGCTTTTCACTGGAACAGGTCAGAGTTAAGAACTATAAGACAATTTTATCGCTTGCTTCATAACATGATGCTGCCTTGTTAACCTTGTACACCCCAATTCTATTTCACTGCCCAGTGATACATCTATTGAAAGGAGAAAAGATAACCTATTTCATTGGCTTGCTTTATGTCACTGAAATTTTGTGAAGCTAGCAGATCCTTTTTCTTTGTCTCCGTTCAATGCAAATAAATATAAATTGCATCTGTGTCTTCTTTCCCAAGTAGTGAGTGTCTCTGACTGCTCCGCAGTATTGCAACTGAGTTTCAATCAAGATCCTCAGCTTGGGACATCTCTCTGCCAAACTTAATGGCGGTGTATTCATCTAACAGTGAGGAAATTTGGAGCCCAGGAAGGATTATGTAGCAATATTTATTGCACAGAAAATATAGTCATTCCCAAATTATAAATCTGATGCACTCCCCAGACTGCCAAAGCTTCCCATGGTTTCTTTTTCGTCATTTCATAGTCTAAAGATAAGTCTGAGTTCACGTTGACAGAGATGCAACTTTCCGGGCCTGAAATGGTAGTTGTGGACACCTAACTACAATTTGTCCCTTTGAAAAATCTCATACCAAGACTAGGGGACAGGAAAAAAGATTAATTGATGAATCTATCATTTCTAATTAGCAATGCGAGAACAGCATGCTGGCTCTAATGGGCTTAATATAGGTTACCCAGTGAATGATGGTGATCTAAGTTTTTTTATTATTATTTTCAAAGTAAGTTTTTAGATCTTTTTTGTTGCTGGACTAATTCTCAAAATTCTCTTTCTCACGCTGGTGGGGGAAAAAATGCCTTGCTGATTCCCTGTGATTCCCCATGTAGGTATATTTTCTTTCTACTGATTTTTTGTAGCTGTATGCACACTGGCAGTTGGCTAGGCAGCGTTGCTCAGAGAAAAGGAAATGGGAGGGAAACATGAGGGGAAAGGGCTCAGACCAAGGAAGTCAAGGACTGAGGGTGAAGGGATGATAGGTGAGCAGTCTGGGAACAGCTGAACAGAGGGTACTGCTCCTTTCCAGGGGACTTCATAATGAATTGAGAATATATATGCTCACTAAGCTTGAATAGGGCTATTTGGATCCACCACAAAACTTTATGAGGCTCTGTGGCACCCGAGGAGCACAAGAGATTTTGCAGTCCTTGCTTATCCTTTTTCTAAACAGCATCACTGGGAAGCTGACCATTCCGTTTAGACTCTTTTTTATAGTATGCAGGCAAGTTTATTTCTTAGACTTGAACAAGCTACTCAGACATTCTAAAGCAACATTCAGCTTTTAACTGAAAATGCCATACGTGAAATATAATATTTTGATTATTCCTTACTTTCTTCAAAAAGAAAAAAAAATCCTTATTTAACATGTAATTGACTGGTGTGGTCTATCATCAGCTCTCAGACAGATACTCAGTACTTTATATTAAATAGAAAGGGTTTCCATCCCTTGCATCTCTCTAACTCCAGCTCTCCATGATCCGTTTAAGAACTACACTATGCTGAGATGACATCAGCTGTCGCTTCCCCACTCTGCAATATGAGATGTAGCAGAAGGTTCACTGTAATATCACACGTCTATCATTTCTTTAGAAGCACACATAAATTGTGCCTTTAATGGCTTTCAGTGGAAAATGGAAGGTGTCTTTGGAAATACTGGCTGCAAACATGGACCCCTTATGCCGGTATTCAAATATATGTAGCATGAGAACCCCCTGTTTTCTTTCATGAGCCTTTGACTTTATTCTTTGCCCTCAGTGCCCTGCAGCACTCCAATGTTGAGGCCTATTGACCACAATATTTAGATGTCCAGTTCCAGACTGCTCTTATGTTCTTAAGGATCCGCTATGGACATCTTTGGGATTTCTCTAGCATTTGTTGTTTGAACTGGTTGGTTGAATTTGGTTGAATTTGTTCATTGGTTTGAAAAAGTCTTTAATTCTCTGTTTGCCTTTTCTTTTTATTCAGAAAATGTCTTCTCTTCCTTCATCAGGTTTAGTGAATAACAGATGTATTTTATCCAGCATAATTTATGATTAGTTAATTTAATCTGCCATAATGACACAAAGCGAGCCCGAAACAAGCTTCTATCAATTTTGCCGTTAGAGGTAACATAATATTTTCAAACGTCGACCAAATTGAGTAATTAACCCTCAGGCTGAGTGAGGTCTAGTAGACATCTCTTTCACATTCCTTTGCATTGACAAAATGAAAATAAATATTGCAACGCAAGGGTTAAAAACAGTAAGTGAGAGTTTACAGTTCATGAGCCTGGTTTCATAAGCAAGTTTTAGAAACACACTTGAATTGCTGCTGCATCTTTTTAGACTGCCAAAAATTTTCTCCAGTGAAGCATCTGAATTGCACTGGAGCTTTGCTGGCAGCATTGGCAGAAAGAGAACAGCTATGTATGAACTGTCTGTCTCTTAGTCCATTACTTTTCCTCACTGCTTTGTAGCTTCACAGTGGATGGGTGGCTTTTCTTTAAACAGCAGCTCAATGCACAAGATCACCATGATTAAAGGTTTTTGAAATAGCAGATGCACTTCCATAATAAACAAATGGTTTATGCAAGGTTTTATTTCTGGAACTTTAAGGTATGTAGTGGCTTCATGATCTCTTTGTAAATGTAAAATCTGATAGTTGAGATGAACAAGAAATACATAAGGGGAGATCTGATAGGCTCTTGTAAAGGAAGCATTAAGCAGATGTCAAAGTTCTGTTAACAAACACATTAAGGAGTATTCAATTTGGAATGCAGTACTGTTTCCTGTGGCCTAGCATGCATCCCTAGCAATTTCAAAAGCTCTAATGACATTTGCTTTTAATAAAGAAAAATAAACTATTTTAAGAAACAATCATAGCTATAGGACTGTGTTGTGGTAAAAGCTGGGCAGGTACAACTAAAACTGAGTATACAGAATGCCACAGAAAAACATCTATAATCAGAGAATGAAGAGACACATGCTTATAGGCAGAATTTGATCTTGTAGTGCAAAGTAATGTGCAGAGGAGGAACTGGACATAATGCTGGCTTAACATACTTGATTAAAGGCAAGATGTTTTCAAAACACAAGAGACAATGCTGAGGATGAAGCAAACTGGTGATTGGGATGAGATTGCACTTGATGGGCTTTTGGCAATCTTGCCAATCATTAATTCAAATGCCATGGAACAGTACCAGCCCTAGGATTTTCAACCATTTCTAAATTGAGACAACAAAAGTGATGACTCAGAAAAGACTAATGATGTGGCAGTTATAAGGATCAGTAGTGCCAGTGAAGTTGAGAAAATTTCTCCTGCTGGGCCATCCTCTTCCTGCACCCTTGTGAGTATTCTTAATCAAATATAATTTGCTCACAGGCCACATCTCTTTATTGGCAGGATTCAGCCACTACATTCAGTCCTCTGTGCTGGGCTTGCAGCATTTGGTCATTGCAACTGTATAATCAGATGATTGATACATGGCCTCAATGTGAATTACTCAAGAGTCTCTGAAAGGAAATGCAGATTTTGTTCTTCAGTATCAGCAATAGAGTTATGGTAGTAAGAAATGAGATATTTGTTACGGGTAGAAAGTAATAAAATGTTACATTTCCTGAAAAGATTTACCTAATTTTTCATGACTTTAGTTAAACATACGGTAATGCCTTTCGGCATTACACTCAATATTCTTACAGCATGATGATATATCATTGCTCTAACCTCTTGCCATGTTACAGAGAGATCAATTTCTATGATGATGCATTGATCAGTTTTCCTTTGGTTAATAGGCAGATAACGTGAGTAAAATTTTGTCCTATGTAAGACAACAACAGATCTCCTTCCATGGATTAAATCCAACCAGGCCTCAGTCATTCAGAACACAATCACATATATGTTCTCTTTCACTGTCAGGTACATCCTGATGGCACCTATGGACCTGACCTGTCAAAGCTGTAGCCTGCTAAGCATTGTGCAATTGCGTGTGATCATTCTTTGTGAATGTGGCACTTGAGGGAATATGTGTGCACCTAAAAGCAATGCAGAATGGAAGGTGTCTTTTCCTCAGCCAAAACTTGGCTGTTACTTTCTGATGTTTGCCAAGATTTTAAATGTGTGACATTTGAATGAGCAATTTTAGTTGTTGTTGTTTTTTGAGAACTGCAGGTCAAGGATATAAAATGTAGTTGTTTTGCACTGTGTCTTAATGGTGGATGGCTTTGCTTTAACTAAGTGATTGGTATGATGCCCATTACTCTGGTCTCAAAGCATTTTTGCAGTTTGTTAATACGAGAAGCCACATTTCATTTTTGTGAGCTAGTAGTACTTATGATTATCTCAATTTTACTCAGAAAGGGTAAGGTCACAGACGGGTCAAAGCCTACACCCACAGGAAGTGTTCAAGCACCCTATTTCCTGTTGAAATATATCATTAGACCACGGTCACCAGGTTCATTATTTTAGACTTGCCAGGTGTACTGCTCCAGACTGGCGACAAAGCACGTCACCAAAATCCAAGGCAGAGGGAGGAATTGCAAGGTAAACTTCCTAAAGCCTGTGATATTGGGCTTCTGGTCTTGGACTTTTCACTTCCTGTCAAGTGAGAGACTTCATGGCCCACAGCTACAGATCAGCAGCCATCCAGCAAACTCAAAGTCCAAGATCCCAGTATGTGTAGCTAGGGGTTTTCTAAGCTGCTGCTTTTTTTTTTTTTTTTTTCTGACTGACAATGTTTTATTTCTAGATTTGTATCTTCTAGTCAGGGTTGCTCCTGCTTCCTTGGTGGCAGCCTGGGAACCCTTAGAACTTCTAAGATTCCTCACTGTTTCTTCTGGAGTCTCTCATATATATGCATGTATTTTTTAAAGACAGGAGAAATGGAAGTAGGAGGATGGAAAGGAATGTGAACGTAAGGAAAACTATGTGAAATGTTTTATGTGTTTGTAAAGAGCCCATCGCTGCGGTGTCAGGATACCCATAACATTGATGTAATTCCTCTTTTTA